AGATGAGCCAGTCAGCTCCACAGAGCTAGGGATTTTTAAGGCCTTTGGGCCTTCTGCAGCCGCCATCTTGTGGACACTGTGGATAGGTAGCGATATCCTCATTTCTCATTTCTGAGGTAGTACCTGCTGGCTACCTCTGGATATGATGCCCCATGGTTGGTGTGTCTTCCGCCTACTTGTGTTGAGCAAGCTCGGCTATTTTGCAGCGAACTCCCATTGAGGTTGCACCAAGGAGGGGCTCTAACCTGTCTGCGCTTCAATTTTTGCACCTTCGGAGTGTGGAAAAATTACAAACATCTTGTAGGGGGACACCGTGAAATGGTAGCAGTGTGTCTTGCCCATGATTGCGTGGCGAGACCCATGGTGTGAATAATTTTAATAAGTTTGCGGGAGCCTTTGGCATGTGCAATGCTCTTGTGCTGAGTCACGCTCCGCCCACGAATGTTAACATTTATACCTGTAGTTTACCACTGTAAATTTGTGTACATGCAGTTTTTGATTGCTATTAATATTTTGGTTTACAGAATTTGGTTGGTAGTATTTCAGTTGTATACATCAAAAGATTGCTCTACTTTCCTCCATTACTTGTCCCCTAGCAAAAAATCGCTCTAAATAACTGTCTATCTCCCTTCCTGCTCCTTAGGCCTCATTCCACAAACCAGCCAATAGAAGCAAAGCCCCCAAGAGAATTTTGGCTCTTGGTTGAATTCTAAAATGAAAAAAAAAAATGTAAAAAGCGCTAAAAGGCATTCAAAGGAGCAGAGAAAAATAAAAAAAAAACTACGTCTCCTTTAAAAAGTGCAAAAAAACGAAATCGTGCAATATGGTATGTACCAATGAGTGACAATGCTGCTCACACTCAAGTGCTGTGTCTCCAGATAGTCACCCCAACACACTTAAAGTGCAAATACAAACTAATATATAAGTGGAGCGCAAACAATATAAATGGTAATTGCAATGAGCCCCTATATACACCAAAAAGTGTAAGTGCTACAATACAAATGGTATACTTAGGTAGCTCTTTGTGCATCCAATGTTTTCATCTAAAACTAAACACAAGGAACAAATGATCGTGCAGTATATAAAAGAAAGATTGCTGGTGATTATTCAATCAATGGCTTAATAAAAAGCTAAAGTGCATATAGTAAACATATAACATAAAATTTATTATACACTTGAAACACATAAAAACCAATGTAGAAAATATAAATGTGCAGCTGCTTACGTGATAGCTGAAGGTGAGTGTATGTGGGCAGATTGATCCGCTACTCACAAGCCCTTATATGTATTTAGTACATGGCGGTAGTGATGTGCCGAACGGTTCGCTGCGGACGGCGAACATATGCGCTGTTCGGTCCGCCCCCTATGTCATCATTGAGTAAACTTTGACCCTGTACCTCACAGTCAGCAGACACATTCCAGCCAATCAGCAGCAGACCCTCCCTCCCAGTCCCTCCCACCTCCTGGACAGCTCACTAAGAATGCAGCTTGACAATGAATGTAAAATGGATGCTGTCCAGGAAGTGGGAGGGCCTGGGAGGGCCTGGGAGGGAGGCAGGGCTGCCATCAGGGCATGACAACCGTAACGGTTGTCATGGGCCCGGCGGTCCTGGGGGGCCCGGACTCCTCAGGTCGTCCGGGTCCCACATTCAGTGGGTACTTACCGGGTCGCAGGGGGCCCTGCGACCCCGGTATGTACCCACAGGGCCAGCCTCTTCTCCTGGGGGGCCCAGCAGCCGGTCACCTCAGGGCCCCCCAGAGGCTGGCCCTGACAGCCGGCCGGCGCGCGAGGGAGCACTCTGTGTGCTTCCTCTTCAGCTCCCTCGCGCACCGTACTGATGCCGGAGCCGGAAGATGACGTCATCTTCCGGCTCCGGCATCGGCATCAGTACACGGTGCGCGAGGGGGCTCAAGAGGAAGCAGCAGAGGAGAGTGCTCCCTCGCGCGCCGGCCCGCCGGGTGTCGGGGGGAGGGGCGGAGGAAGGAAATTGGATGGAGGGAGGGGGGATGAAGGAAATTTA